AGGGAGGAGTTCTACACCAAAACCATTATCTTCCCCTAACCTTAACCAAGTAGTTTTTCTTTTGGCCATGATAATTAAGGCTCCCTGCCCTTAATAAGGCAGGTATTTTTTTCCCAAATCATGATCTTTCCTTACCAAACCAAACCCCAACCACAGCAGTGACTGACCATGTGAATCATATTGTAAAATTGTTTTGGAAGGTTTTTAAAGGCAAGAAGACGCAACATAATAAATCATTTAGTCTGGAGGACTTGTTGAAGGCAAGTGGTCAAAATCAGAACGAGACCAATTATAACTAAAGTCTTGCATATTGAATTGATTTAGCTCATTAAAGTAAATGTGTGCAATCCAACCAGGAATAAAAGAGACACAAAACAGCCCCTCACATGATAACCCTGAATGCTAATTGTTCCGTGGTGGGGTGTTGATGATGAGAGGCAACACTGGCCGGATTTCACTGTTGCCCACTTAGCAGCAACAGTGAAATAAATCTCACACAAATCTCGCTGCCGGGGGGAGCTGAATCTCGGCAGAAAACGCAGCAGATCCGTCTAACACCGGAGGACGACAGCCAGCTTCATAAATATGGAGGGCAGAGTGTTGAGGAGCGGGAAAGAGTATGAATATTTTACCGTGCCGAGGCCAGTGGGAGAGTGATGGTGAGGATGGCCGGAGAGAGAGTACAGCTGGTTGCTTTGGTGTTATATAACACACACACACACACACACACACACACACACACACACACACACACACACACACAAAAGCAGATGGACACACACAACACAAATGGACACTGGTATACAAACTGAAAACATACACAGGGACACACACATGGACATGCTGTTCACGATAGTGTGAAGCACAACAAAGCACACAGGCAGCAATGAGCACATAAAGGCAAAGTGACATGAAATGAACACAAACAACAGAAAAGATGAATGGCCACACATATTTTTGTTACTCACACACACACACACACACACACACACACACGTTTCTGTTGTCCACCCACAACTGCATTCATCCATCTTATTTTCATCATACACAAGATGCCAGCCCGTCTGAGACAATAACTGGCTTAATACACACATAAACACACACACACACACACACACACAGTATAAAGACGTGGCATTGGAGCAAAAGGGAAAAGAGACAGAGAAAGATGTAGGAGGTGACATACTGTACTGTATGAGCTATTGCTAAACGCTGTATATAAACAGAGAGGGAGAGAAGGGAAAGAAGATCTCAGTCTCAATAAAGATGAAACGTGTCTCTAAAACCAATGGGGTTTAAACACCTGGGGACCTATTTAAACTATAATTAGATCTATAGCCCATGGTGCAAGTGCATTTAGGGCGTGTCCAACTCCTTTTTAGCTAGTTGAATTCACATAATCTGCGCTCTAAGTAAAACACAGGGTGCAAAGGGGTTGCATTTAGTCCCTTAATTAATCATAGGTGTGTTCTGGGTGTAACATGAATTCAACCAAACAGAGTGTCACCTCCCATTCCCTTTAAAATCTAAGTCCGCCTGCACCTGGCGCACTGCTATTTACATGGCAGATTCAGCAAATTTGAGAAGTGAGCGTTTTTTCTGCTGAGCGTAGTCTCATGCAGAAAGAGCAGTAATGTCACCGCAGCAAATATCATGGAACATGATAACTTGACAGAGGAAACAGAACTAAACTTTCAGCTTCTGAAGTAATCAATGAAGTGACACTGCTGCCTGCGTGTACATGTGCTTCCTTAATAGAAAGTCAGACAGCATCTCTGCAGCTCTGCTCTGATCTCTGCTACGTTCACATTATAGAGAATGTCATTAATATTTTTCTCATTAATGCTGTATTATTTCACATCCACACGTCCCTGTGTGTGTGACAAGCAGAGTGTATGCGCATTGTGAACCCACCTATGTAGGCACATCTCATCATCTGAATAATGTGCCCTTTAAATAGCAGGAAAACACTCCACCGCTGACTTTAGACCAGGTTTTCGTCGTGCAATGGCACAAAGCTTTCTGCTGCCTCAAAATAGCAATGTACCAACAATGCACCTAACCACACCTCATTTTAAGACCTAAACGCCCATGGGTGCACAGAACGTGGCAAGTACATTTGCTTCTTACACAAAGTGGATGCTGGCTGTGAAAATGACAACTGCAATGCATCAATTTGACTAGCAATGATAGTTGCGCCGCATGCCACTTTGTGCCCAGTTTAAGATAAGGGCCCTAAACGTCAGCTTCCACTGAATGGTACAACATAGCTCTACCCTTCTTCCTACTCTCTGTTTTTTTGTTTTCCGTGAGCAAAAATTGTGTATAGGGCCTGTTATTTTTGTTTGTTTGTTTGTTTTTTGGTGCCACCTTGATCAAGGTTCCAAGCGAGCTGAGCTGATAGTAGAAATTGGAATTAAAATACTCGCTAGTCAACAAAGAAACAATTACATAAAACAACAAAAACAAATCGGATGGATTTGCCTGCTGTGGGACTGCTGATAAAATGTAGCTATCTAGCTAACTCTGGGACAGTCAATGACTGCCCATGGTTTCTGTTAAAACAAGCCAAATACAAAGATCAGAAAAAGCAGAATAAACTATCTATGAAAATATACTAGTAGCATAGAATAGTGGCTTACAATCACCTAATAATCAACTTTCTTTTAAGACCACAACATGAATGCTCACTTGAAAAGGCTACACTTCACATGCCATGTATATTTTAAAAATATGAGCTATTGCAAACTTTTGTACGGAGTGGACCTACATATACTTTAGTATATAGTTTCAATACACAGTCCAGAAACTGAAAGTCTGATCGCTCATCTCCTCGAACTGACTGAGTTTTATGACTTCAGCTTGATAGACAGCTGGTTAGCTAGTCTTATCTACCCAGCTACACTGCAGGAACAGAGGGAAACAATAAAATCTATTAACTGCTCAGACATCTTTCAAGATATTATCATGTCAACAAATACAGCGAGGGCAGATTAGTGTGAAGAGACTTTTTGTGTTATTGCTAAAGTAGCAAGAGCCTTCTAGCATGTTACGTGAACAGTTACAGTGCAGTCCTCCTGAGATATGAACTTTAAGTATAAAAGTATAGTATAAAAGACTAAACATTGTCAACGATAAGTAAGTCTCAATGTCCTCAAACGAGACAATAATTCAGTCCTAATGTCTTCAAATAAGTACTTCCTGATTAACAGTGTCTTAGCTTGTTACCATTGCTAATATTGATCAAATCTGTTGCCATATAAAACTACAAACATTATTAATCATAAATAAACTAGTCTCAACCATAAAATGTGATCAGGTTTTGGACTTTGTCCACTTTTGTGTCGGGATCGTCTGCAGACTGACTTGGCAGAGATGGCTGCCATCTTGTTTTTACATGTATGAGTGTAATGTGCTCTTACTACCACTAGATGGCATTAACACTGTCCACGTTTGAGGACAACAGGTCTAAGATAAGTAAAGTATAAGGTCAAGTAGGCCCAAAATTTAATGTTCTGAGGCTATGGTGACTGAAGGTAGCTAATGTGCTCAACTATCATCTCCATTACTTTCTAACTAAAAATAAACTTTTTGTGTACATTGTGTGACTGAGTACATTAACATTTTACACACTCTGCAAAAGCAAAAAAAAAAAAAGCAATTACATTTGATGGCAACTGTCCCTTACAGACCACTGTCCTAACACTCTCAATACTTCCTAGAGCTTTAATGGTGTATTAATCCACCACTGAAAATAGACCCTAACAAATGCACTAATTGCTCCACTTTGAGTAACGTTTGTTAAAAACTACAGCGCCCAGCTGCTTTAGGGAACTATCTACCCTTTTATAGAAATTAAACTCCAGTAAAGATTTGTGATAGCCTACTTTTTTAAAGATTTACATTATCTGTGGGAGCCTGTGGGCTTGGGGCTGAACGCCACAGGGTAAGGGAGTCAGAAAGTATTAAGGGACGAACTAATACTTAGTTGGTTTTGGTTGTTTCATGGGGAAAAATGAAGCCAGCATTAAAAATCTTGAAGTTATGGAGTACCTACAGAATCAATACAGTGTAAACACCTGAACCGTGAAATGTGATGTGTCGAGACTTTCATTCGACCATTCATCCCCTCAGGTGTTTGTCCAAAGTTGCCATTCAACCCTCTCTTGTTCATTCAGCTAAAAAGCAACAGTGATCATTTTAATGCAACGAGCCGGTCAGAGGGCGAGACAGCATGAGTCACAGAGGGGTGGGGGGGTGGGGGGCAACTAAAGAAACAGTATTAGCTGAGAAGAAACGGAAGCCCTAGTTTCCTTGGGTGCTAATTTGCACACACACACACTTGGGTTGAACACTATAAACAAGAGGCTGATATTAAAATGAGGATGACAGCGTTCCACCTTAAAGAACAAAAACAAGGCAGAGTTACGACCTCTGACTACGAACTAAAATGTAAACAGATGTCTTTGAATGCCTCTTTGTACACACACATATATTCAGAAATACCAACACACACACACACAATCACAAATGTATATCAACAGTGTTCATCCTATCCAATACACACAAAATCACAAATACTACCTTAATAACAACCCTGCAAGGTGAATCCAATACACACCATCAGCAGGGTTCCCATGCACACACACACCCTTTAGTACAATATAAACTCAAGATAGCAGGGGAAATTTAACACACACGCCCTCTCACGCAGCATATCTGTGCGCTAAAACACACACACACACATACACACCTTAAAGGCAGCCGACACACACCCATATCAACGCAGTCCAACACCACACATGCATGTAAACACTTTCCCACCCGCCTCCGCTTCTGCCTACACGCCTTTCCCACCCACTCAAAACACAGCACACACACTCTCACCCACACATACACATACACACACACACACACACACACACACACACACACACATTCCTTCCATCCACCCATTCATCCATCCAATCCCCTCTTTTCCCTTCTCCATCCATCCTTACCTTGCAGCAGGCTCTGGAGGTTGAGCTGCGCCTGCTGGTGCAGCTCCTCGACACACTCCGGCCTGCTCCACGAGCCGAACACGTTCACGCTCTGTTGCCATGGAGACCTGAAGTGGGCCGCACCGCCGCTGCTGCTGCTGCCTCCTCCTCCGCCGCTGCTGCTGCTGTGGTTGCCGTCGCCGTGGCTGCTGCTGCTGCCGCCGCGCCTGCCGCTCTCCGCCTCTAGACCGCTGGTGGCTGGAGGAAAGAGAGGAGGGAGGGAAAGAGGGAGGGGAGGAAAAAAAATGTTGAGAGGAAGTGATGGATGGAGGGAGAGAGGAGGGAGGAGAGAGAGGAAGTGAAATAAGGACGGGAAATAGGATTATTGAGAGGAAGGAAAAGGAGGAGAGAAAGGGAAGGACAGGAGGAGCATGGGAAGAAGGGGTGACAGGCAAGATGGAGAGATATAAAGGTGGATGGGGTGAAAGGGGGAGAGGAGGAGGGAAAGGGAAAAATGAGGGGGACAAAAGAGAAGAATAATGAGAGGAGTAAGATGAGAGAGAAGAGGAAGAGGGGGAAAAGAAGGGAAGAAGAGAAGAGGAGGAGAGAAAAAACACACGTAAATAAAAATGTATGAATTTGCATAACTAATACCCAGAGACGCAGATTACATAACGCAGTGTGTTGTCAGGGAGAACAAGGACCGAGGAAGAAAGGAAGGAGGGAGGAATAGAGGCTGGGAAAAAAAGAAACAGGGATTAGGCAGAAAACGCGGGAGGGATGGACGGGAGGAGAGGTAGAGAACAGATTTGGAGGGGAAAATGAAGAGAGGGAGTGCTTAATTAAGAGGGAGAAGGAGTGGGAGGAAGATAGAGGGACAGTCATGGGAGGAGATAGAGAAGGAGGGGGAGAAGGAGGGATTAGGGCAGGGAGGTATGAGAGAAAAAAGAGACAAATTGTGATTGTGGCATTAGGGAGAGAAAGAAGAACAAGAGTGGGAGGAGGAGGGAGAGCGGGATGACATTTAAAGGGAGGAGAGCGGAGGGATGAAGGCAGAAAGGAGGGTGATGTGAGTAAAGAGAAGAAGAGAAGGAGAGAGAGGCTGGGGGACGGGAACGTCTGCCCCTGTCACTATCAAACCTCCAACACAAACAGACAATCAAAACAAATCACTCGGAGCGATCGCAAATGGCCATTCAACGTCGACATGAATGAGGCGTAGCTTTGAATCAGTGGTGATGAAATAATTTGACACATCCAGCAGCTGATAAAACATGACTAACAAACACAGGAAATCCCAAATGTGACAGCAGTCAGGGTCCAACTGAGCTGTCGAGGCTTTGAAGAGGAACTTTCTGTGAGAGCAAAGTCACTGAAATCATTACTTGTCTTTAGTTCTGACGCTCACATGGTGACAAAATGTCAAGTGAGTAAGTCACAGGAGGCTATTGGTATTAGTGCAAAAGTGAGATGAGAGTTTGTCGACTACCTTGTTACAATTACCAAGCTTACTTGCTAATAAACAATTCGGCAAAATCACTAATGACATTTAATGGTGTATCCAAGCATCTTGGGTTCACAGAGTTGAGCAGAAAAAAAAAAAAAAACAATACATGGGACAGAAACCCAAAGACACACGTCCAATGCCAACGTCTCCTAAAATAATTAGCTCAGTCAGTAGCTCAGTCCATAGGGACTTGGCTCAAGTCTACGTCCAGACAAAGTATGGAGGGACTGGTAGCACCACCAAGGTGCCCTTGGGCAAGGCACGAACCCCCAAACTGCTTGGGGCACCCGTCCATTGTCCTTGCTCTGACATCTCTTCATTTAACGCATGTATGTGTATCCTGTGTGTCTATATGACAACAGAGAATAGTAGAGTAGATTTTAGAGCCTGCGACTCCGCACCAGTCAGTTAGAACTGAAGAAGCCCCTTGGATGAGAGGCAAAACGTCTTCAAGAAACCTATGTTATAGCACTTATGATTACCATGCCCGGGATGACTGAGAGTCTTCACCAACATCTAACATGACGTCACCCATTGGCTTGTGGACTACTGTTTTAACGCCTCAAGTTCGGCATTTCAGCCGTTACCATTTTGGTTTTCTGGAGCCAGAAGTGACCATATTTGGGTGAGAGGCTGGTGCTGTGGAGGAGCAAGGGGTGGATGTGACTAAGGGTGCTTTCACACCTGCCCTGTTTGGTTTGGTTCAATCAAACTCAAGTTCCTTTTCCCCCCTAAGTGTGGTTCATTTGGGCAGGTGAGAATACAGCAATTGCTCTCGGGAGTGCACCAAAACAACCAGAGCGAGACTTTCTTGAAGAGGTTGTCAGGGTCCAGTTACAAACGAACATCAACAACCAATACACCCAGGGTACCTTGAACTTCATATGCAGACATGGAATGTCCATGACCAAAATATCAATATGTAACAAGGTCGGAGTGAGAATGTGTTGTTCGGATTGAAGTTGGAGGTTGGTTAGTTTGTGGTGAGAACGTGTTCCAACCTCGATCCGAACAACACATTCTCACTCCGACCTTGTCACCTTGACATTTTGGTCATGGACTTTCCACGTCCACAAATGACATTCAAGGTACCCTGGGTGTGTTGGGTGTTGACGGTCTTGGTTCTTTTCTTCCTTCAAGATGCACTTTCGTTTTCACAGGAAATTCAATGTTGACATACAGTTTCTTTCAAAATAAATGCACTATGTCAGTACAACACCGCAAATTGAATTTTTTTTTCCTTCAACAACAAAAACACATGGTTAGGTTAAGGGAAAAAAACATGTGGTTAGTTTTAGGAAAAAAGAACAGGGTTTGGCTTTAGAATCTTACGGGACATGAACACTACTCTCTTGGGTGAAAGTCTGTGTTTGTTGGACCCATCCACCTCACCTCCTGTCCGCTACCTTTTTTTTTTTTTTTAACTTAGAATTTTTAATTTTTTTTTAGTTGGAACTACTTTTAGGGTAGCTTTCCTGAAGTTCAATTTCTTCCAGTGTGAAGGAATTGGTAGCTTGCAAAGCTACACTTTTAAAGTTGCTTCCTTTATACTGTTTGGCAGTATGTCAGTGTTTACTACTGCTGCCAGGCAGCCTAAATTAAATGTTCCTCAAGTAACACTCATTAACTTTTAACTTATCCAAAGAATATTTTGGTTGTACGCCACCTGGCGTTTTGCAGCAATGAGCACAAACGCCTCTATGCATTCTCATAGCTTTTGTGCCATCTACAAAGACCTGTGCCACAGCTTGTCAAGCGAGTATAAACAGAGCATTACCCACCCACACCATTCCAAAACCTTACCTTTCACCACACAGAGATTTGAAAGGAACTTCATGTGTCAGACTCAACTATCCCCCAATGTAAGGTAAGATAAACTCACAATGTCTAAGCTTCCATCATGCGACCAAAATACCAAACAGAGATTCCTATTAAGGACACCTGGTGGATCAGTTGGTTAATTATTCATAGCATAATCCCCATTCTCTCTTACGATTTTTGTATTTCTCAAAAATGACACCAAAATCAAGAGTATGTTTATATGCACAATCATATACTGGTTATGTGTTACTTATGTAAACATCCTGGTTTCAGAAACCTCCATATGCTTGCTGGAGTACTCCGATGGAGACCTTATCAACATTTCCGATAATTCTCTTGCGTGTTGCAGGTGGGTGGTCAAGTAATATGGTCAACAAAACTAAAAATATGATGGTAAGTGATGTAGTGATGATGTAGTGACATCTGTCACACTGGTACAAAGGGAAATTCTGACTTTCATTACCAGTGATCAGATGAAGTGTAATCTAGTTGAGTGGCAACGACAACCAGAAACCAAGTCATGTTCATCCTCAGCTGTTTAAGTTACTCAGTCGGTACAGAAAGGAGTGGCTGAAAAGTCAAGGAATCGTGTTTGACTTAAATGCCACACCCCCATTGAGATTGAAAAATATTATGTGTATGAACATGTACTAAATAACAACTTTCTGTTTTGTTCCCTGAGCAACATTCACAAGGGACTGACTGTACAAGTGAAATAATTCTAAAAATAAACGTGAATAAGTTTTGTATCTGACAAAAGGAAGGCATGGTGATCTTCTTTTTATCTAAGACAGACTTTCCTACAACAGAAATGTCAATTTGTTCATGTCAGAGTGTTCTTGAGCGAGACACTGACGCACAAACTCAGTAAACTGCTTTGGTTGAGATCCTCGGCTAAACTCTAAAAACCTCTAAATGCAGACTGTAACGTGTGCGGAAAGTACCTCTGAGGGCTATGCACGAACATATTTTCTGATTTGGTGAAAACTTGAAGAACACTCAGTTCCCGGCAGACAGACGTACAGACAGTTACTCTGCACTGAATCCACCGGCACTATCACGTCTTGTTTGCTCTGAAGCAGCCGTCTGTTCTCTCAAAACCCGTCGTACTGTATGGAATCACAATTTCACCCTCGCAGCTACCGGCTTCATCTTCCTAAGCTGCTTTCACACAATCGTCTCCCACCAGAGAGAGCTACTGTTTATGATACAGAGTTGCACGTCAGTTAGCATCAGCCGCAGCAAAGAGAACAAAGGCAATCATGCATGATTTATAACGTACTGTAGAAGAGACATATATTCTCAACATAGAGCCTATGCTGCTTTACTTATTTTTCATGTGGAGCCTTAAGTATGTCTACTGCGCTTTCTTTGGCATTGTTTCTTTCTGAAGCTAATCTGTGTTTACTGGATGTATGCATTGTGTTGTGAGCCTTGCTGCAAGCTAAATATCCCATTAGGGAGCTTGAGTTTGAAGCGAAGGCTCACCCAGCAGATTCTGCTCGTTTTTTCCCCCCAGTTTTCAGTCTGCGGTGTTTCAAGCAGGGAAGCAAACTTTTGCATCCACTTCACTAAACTTCTTGTGACCATGTCCTTACACACTGTATGCAAAATAACTTCTGCTGTCACATATGAACAAAATATAGGCACAAAATCAAAGCAATCTGTGGTACTTTGAGGTTTACAGGCAACTTAAATCCAATGTTTGAAGACTGGATCTGTGTATCTGAAATATTCTTCTTCTCGGTTAATACATATTTCCTGCAGAGATATAGTGTTTATTATGGAAGCTAATGTCAGCCAGTGTGATGAGAAAAGGGCTCTAAGTCATTTTAATGGGAAACTTTCTGGAAAGAATGTGCCAGTATCTCAAAATAATGAGAAACTTCCTCAAAAATAATGACTCAGTATCTCAAAATAATGCAAAACA